TTTTTCTCAAGAAAACCATTTAAAATTAATTCCATCTTAAATGGCTTTCTACAAACGGAATTCACATATAGAACATGCAGCTGCATCACTTTTGAATAAAAAAGAGAAGAAAATGCCTTCTTACATTTTATTAAAGTGTATAATCTTGTATTTGTCAGGTTCTTAAATGTATAGAAGCTGAGTTCTATGATTTTAGTGTCTATAAACGTGAAACGCCTGGGATCTGCATTAAAATGTACCAAATGAGTGAGTGTGGTCACAGCATCTCATTCTGTGGACTCTGCTTTTGCTGAAGTGCCATATGGCAATGGCTTGGAATGGAGACCAAAGCAGCTCCTTCAGACCTTTGGGTGGCTTTTTAAACCACTCGTTCTCTGGTCTTTATTCCCGGACCTCCCATCTGCTGCTACACCAAAAACTGACACCTCCCCCCCGAGATGTAAGTTGCTTTCAGGGTTTTCACTGAGCACTGATTGCTTGTTTGTTTGGACCCTAATCTTCATCCTGTACAAACAGTGTGGTTGAACAGGTAACTCCACCCTAAAATATATGAAAAAGGAGGCATAGGGTTAAAGGTCAGGAGTATCAAATGATGTTGCTTATTTTCCTCATCTTTTGTCCTAATGAAATTAGACTCAATTAGTCATAAGGTAACACCTGAGGGACCAACCTCACTGACTAGCACACACAGGCCTGCACTGAACCTCTCATACAGCGCCGAAGTGAGTCCACAACGTCCCCTTTAGGAGACCCTGAAAGAAAAACAGGAAAATCATTCATTTGATGGCTTAACACTTGCTTACACTGAAGTAGTTTCAGTTACTTGTAGAATGTTAATGACGAAGTCAGACTTAACCTTTGCTCGGGGACAGATCTTAAAAAAAGTCAGCATATAACATTTTTAGTTTAATCACACATACTATTTACTGTTCTTGCTTGGTGCCTTTGGGAAGGCTAATGGCGCCATCTGTTGAATTCTCTGCTAAATTACTGTTTTCAAGTATTTCTAACATCAAGTTCAGGGTCCTGGACACCAAGCAAGATTTGTTGGTTAGATAGATAATGTGCCGGATTTGAGGTCCCCCACTTTAAATGGACTTTATCATCCTTCACATACATTTAGCTCAGACTACCTTAAACCTTAAATCTTTATAAGTTATCTTGCTAACCCAAAAATTCTGCTTTGTGATACATGCCCCAGGAGTGTATGGTAATGCATACACTGCAGAAAACAAGTTACCTCCCTCAAACCCGAAAGTAAATACCAATGAAACCATGCAGCACTAGTTAAAATTAAAAAGTAATAGACAATCTTGTGGTCGCATGTTTTTTTTAAATGTCCAGATCCTCTATAAACATCTCCTTATGTGTGCAAGTAAACACTATATGCCCTTAGTGCTAAAATGCACATTTCACATGGGATAAATCTGAGTAGTAGTTCTGAGTGATTCTGCTGTACATGTCCTGTCTCTTTGTTCTGTGTCCATTCAGGCCACTGAGTTACGGCATTTGAATATTTACTCCGTGTTCAACTTTACTACTCTATTGCAGTAATTTTATAAATTACATTGTTCATGTAGCCCCTGCGGCTATCTGATTGTTGGAATCCATTACAGTGCTGGTTGTCATAGTGGATTTGCCAGTTTTAGATATGGGCCAGTATGGGGCCAGCACTGAAGCTGTTTGTACATTACATTTTGGGACCATGTCAGTGTACCCAGAAGAAGACTGCTTGTGTTTTATAATTGTTCACAATGCGTATTGTTTTTGTTTTTTTTTCTTTTGGTTTGAATCGTTGGTTGGCAAAATTGTTACATTTTTAAATTCTGTTTGATTTATTGAAAAGGATATTGAGGGGGAAAAAACGCGAGGTTTCAGCTGCTATTAACGATAGTGCAGTGATAAATTCCATTAATTTAAAGGGTTAGTACAGTAAGTATTTATAGGCGAAAGCTAGATGCCAGTATGTTTTAAAGTCATTCGGAAGCAGAAAGGTTCTCTGGGAGCGAGACCTCAGCAGCTGCATACAGGCTGCCTCTGCTCTCCCTCATCTATAAACATCACGCTCTCTCCCCTCCTGAATAAATCCAGATGCTCCACTGCTGACTGCCAGTACAGCATTGTAGAAACGTAAACTTGCAGCATGGAAGTGATGTCACGTCTTCAGATCGAGTGTGAAAATAAAGTACATCGTAGCATGACCGCTTACTCTGTACTGTGGATCGTTTAATTAAGGCAAATATGAGCACGGGAGTGAGTGATGAGTATTGTAATGGTGAGGGTGACGATGCCTGATTCACATGAAGGCGGTAATGTATTTCTATGGCTGGGTAAGAAAAACACCCTCTGCTACAAATGAACGCTGTTGTCATAATGAAAATCAAAGAATAGTAAAATATGATATCATATAGGATAAGTGTTAATAAGCCTAAATCTCTCCAGTAATGAATAAATACCATTGGAACATGACACACAGAAGGTGTCAGTTCATTATATAATGCAATTGTAATTACCCGGAGGTGTGACCAGCGTGTATAGGTTGCTGGTGACAATTACATTTGGCGACAATATTAAACATTTTGAGAGCAGATATGTCACTCAGCAAATTGCAGCATGAGGGCTGTTCCAATAGAGCCTTCTGTGAATAATGACCCTGTAATATAAAGTCTCCCTGTAGGAGGTGCTATAGGCACACAAGGCATATTTATCCTCAGCTCACTATCCTATACCTGCTTCAAGTTGAGCAACATTACGATTCACTTTGACTCCTCTGATGTGTTTAAAACCATCCAGCCTCCAGAGTAGGAGCTGAAAGTGATGCAGATTGAGGATGCCATGCTTGCTCAGATTTCACCCACAGTGTATTAATAATATGCCAGTACCTAGGGCATACCTATTTACATACAAGGCAGACTCCAGCGGTTTGATGTACAAATCAGCAGCCCTGAACATAAAGTAATCTGGCACTTCCTTTGTAAATGCTATATTGGATCATTATGTTTTTGCCAAACATAAAATGTATATAGTCATAGTCAACTCTAGGCTTTACTCCCAGGTGGTGCAAGGGGAGAGAGCTCAACCAGGCATTCATTCAGATAAATTTGTGCAAAAAAAAAACAAATACATATCCAATACATTATTGTTACACATTGATATGACTATCATATCACGTTTTCAAATACAGCTTTACAATATACTTTAATTTTTTATTGAACTTAATATGGTCGAATAGCATTTTCATCTGATCAGTAGGGGGTGCAATTGCACCCCTGGTAAAATCGCAGAAAAACAAAGGCGGATCTGTACAGCCGGTAATTTACCGGCGACAGTCAAGCGGCAGTGCTGCGCCGCATGCACGTTTAGTTAACGCGGGCATTTTGAAGTGTCACATTCAGTATTAAGCAAGTAATAAGTAAATAAATGTCAGATGGTTATATTTTTCGCGTGAAGAATCGTGAAAAAATGCACGTTGAACATTATAATTTCTCCGCAAGTCAAAAATGGGATTTGAAATTTTATACTCCTAAACCTTCTAAAAGGAATGTACGTGTGTCGTTTGCACAACATCATCCATTGTAAAGTTGTCCAACTGCTGGGCATTCTTCAGACATCCTAAACGGCTCTCATTGACTATCTCAACATTACCATACTAATGAATGTCCACTGTACGCTGTATAAAAGCTGTTCTCCACATAATGGAATGCAGCTTTATTCGTCACACTGCACATGTGCGATCCTCCATGTCCATTGTTGGAGCCTCTTCATTTCAGCAGGACGCTTTGACATGTAAAGTGTTCGTTTACTCGGGAATGTCGCGACTGATTCGCGCTGATTGACAGTGTTATTGATTTGCATTGTTACTGAGCGATTGCCGCTTGACACCAGTATTCGACGCGGCAGTGTAACTTAACGGATGGTTGTACATCTACCGCTCGGTAGGGGGCGACCAGAATATAGTGATGAAAGTGGTTTAAGTATTTTCTACCGTTGTCATATTAAATGCAGCGTGACTTCATTTAAGACTTTGTGCCTTATGAACAGATAGATAGATAGATAGATAGATAGATAGATAGATAGATAGATAGATAGATAGATGATAGATAGATAGATCATTTTAGTTCTTATCCCATTATATTTATCCCAAATATTTGTTTGAGGAAACTTTAAGCACAACCAACGTTTTAGGGTTTTATTTACTACCGTTTCCTGGCATGTAATTATACAAAAAACTTTTATACATCTATACCCACCACTAAATTAAACCGCTGGACACACAATTTCATCCTTTGTTCCAAGAAAAAAGTGAACCACTGCCACTTCGAATGTCCGCTTATAAGGCAAAGTCGTGACTAGAAATAAAATGGTCCAGTGTCTTAAATACAGAATATCATTTGACCAACGCAAGTGTCTTGTCATGTGGCTCAGTGGGTACATTTAGTAGATAACATGTAGTTTCTTAGGTCATGTGAACACAGTCGTTTGACAGAAGTTAATTATTTCTCGTTGCTTGAACTTAAACGTTTTGTTCATTAATACTGCTTTACTGTTTTGGCTCTGACGAGCATCTCTTCTTTTGTTAGTTATGCTTTAGGCTATAGTGTATCGGGGGTGTCTCTGACGGGACGGTAGCTCAGATTTCAGGCCCCTCCCGTGGGCTGCCTCTCTGACTTGCGCCCTACAGGCAAGATTGGGGCAGACAAAACCGCTGGAGACAGAGTTCTGGAGAGTCTTGACACCAAGATTAGGAGAGAAAGGAAACTAAGACCTGGTCAGCGAAGTCCAGTGATCCCGTAGACGCCTCCTACCTGGATGGGCCCTGTCTGCCCATAAACCGCTTTCAGAGTAAATGTAAGTACTAATGCAATTACGAGTATAAGTGTATAACATACGGTAAAATTACATGCAGAGCATCGGACTGATTGATGATGTCGTTATTTTTCTTTTAGGAAAAGACACTGGATTTAACTGTGGACTAGCGTGGAAGCCGAATGGTAATTTTTTTCTATAACATCATTAAATCTTTAAATTGGTTTTGTATTAATGAATACGGACTTCAAACCGTAGATGAGGAAATGTCAGTTACTTGCTCTAACTGCACACCAACGTGCATGGACTGCATACAAAATATATAGGAATTGATAAAGCACATTAATATAAATCGGTACAAAAGACAAAAGCACTGTAAGACTGAAAAGCACTGTAAATTCACTGTCGTGTCCACGTCCCTATTACATTTTATTTCTAATCTGTATTCTAACAGGGAGCTGTAGATATTTAAATGTCTTTCCGTCAAATTGCAATATGATCTGCATCTCGCAGTCTCTTATTAGTGTGGTTAACTTCTTTGGGTAACTTTGTCCTTTTAGATTCGCTTTGGGGGCTTCAGTTTTTAAATTAAGACATTGCGCACTGGTTATGAACTAGGCTACATTTTATATCTTTTGTCATCTCCTTAGGATGTTAGTAAATAGAGGAAGATACTGTAATTGCATTTGGCATGTCCTCTGCACATTGTACCACATGCGTAAGATAGCGCCCTGCACCAGCGCCAAAGTAATTTACTTTTTCAGGAACAGGTTTTATATCTCAGTAGGCTGATGAATAGAGTATAGCTGTTTTAACTGTAAGGCAGACATAACTGGAACATTAGATGTATATGGCAGGAAATCTGTTAATAGGAATAGATGTAGGCCACGTCTCTAGAAAAGCGCATTTTTATGAGTTTGTTTTAAACGCTTTTCGTATTTTGTGTAACTGGACCATAAACCCCACTTGAATCGTGGTTGTTGATCGGCCATTTAGCAATTGGAAACTAATATTCCACCCATGCGCGGTTTCTGTACAAAAACCGAAAGCATGATAATTTCACAATTAATTCAACTTGCGTAATCAAGTCGTTCAGTAAGATTTTGTTGTTTGTTTGTCTTCGGTTTCTCGGCTATGTGATTTCTCAGTAGAATCATTTTGCGGTTCAGGGTCGTATTGTGCACAAGGACTAAGGGTCGTGGTGACAGCGCTCTGGGAACAGCTGTGGGGAATCGTGCATTACACTTTTTACAGCTTTGACCCAGCTCACTTTTATTCCGTCTCGCTTCACTTTTTAAGTGCTATTATCCACGAAAATCAGATCAGTTCGGTTATACAGATCTTTTTTGAACACTGCATTGAAGTGATAAATTTATCTCCAAAAGTGGAACAATAAATCAATACACAATATAGTCAAACAGAATTGCGTCAGATTCTTTTTTTGAAATGTACAGCCGGTTTTCTAGTAATAGGGGTTGATAACTTTGGTCAGCTGGCTGGCTTGAGATTTTCGGTTCGAGACTGCACACACATGCATTTATTACATTATAAATAGTATGTAGGGTTTGCAAACTACCCCAACGCTTTCATGTAGCTGATTTTAGTTTTATAATGGAATAATATAGATTTGCAAGATTTCTTGCGTGAGTATGAATCTGAAAGCATGACTGTCACGCCAGATGTGTGAGAGTTGGCAACCCTGAGTAATTTTGCCCCACTCCCAACCCGTTTGGAAACATGTATATTGCTTCATCAGTATTCAGCGAGTCCTGTAGCGTTGTCTTCGTAGTTGGGTATATTGTTATACTCGCATACACGTACTACTCTGACTGATACGCATTTCTGACAATTTCTAGATGGGTATACTGCAAATCCATGTCTAAAGGTGGGTACGGCCACTACTACACCACCGATTCATCAGTGCTAAGATGATTCATACCAGGGTCCTATTTATTTTTGAGTGCGCTTTCACTTCCCCCCCGGGAGACTTTGGACCAATCAGAAGCGCTTCCCGCGTGTGGAGGCGCTGCAAGTGACTTCTGCTTCTCCTTTCTCCTCTAAATGTCCCCGACAGCCCTACCCTCTTTTAAAAGTGTCACTGCGTGTTAATCGCATCATTTTAACGCTTTCAAATGAGCTAAAAAAGTACTTCAGATTGTAAAAGATTGCATACAAACAGTATGCAATCTAGTCATTAGTATGTGTCATTATTTATTACAAAACTGTAGCTGCATGTTTCACAATTGGGATTGGACAAGGATTTACAGGGGGCGTGGGAATTTGTTTTGAATGAAATGCAAAGTAGGTGTGGGATTTTAAAATGAGTGTTCATCACAATGCAGCGGAGAAGTCTGGCTGGTAAATCAGGTCTCAGCAATGGGACACTGCAGCAGAGCAACTGACTAATGAGAAAAGGGGCATGTTAGTTCCACACAATCGAAACTGTTAACCTTCCTGCAAGCCCGGGCCTGTCTCAGAACCCATTTGAACAGCTGGCGAGAGGCAGGAATTGGCGGCAAAATCTCCTATCGAATATGATCTGCCGTATAGCCAGGTTCGTTCTATAAACACAGAGATATGCTCAGCCGTGCACGCTGTGCCGAGTTGTCTGCTTGAATAAGTCACACAGCCAAGGCAGGGACTCCAGGTAACGTGAGCTCGCAGCCCCTGGGACGACCAGCATGTGTCCGCCTGTGTCTCACCATCTTCCTCTCTTCCCCCACAGCTGTGCCTGCAGGACTCTGGGGACTGCTTCCAGCAGCAGATGGCATGCATGATGAGGTCTTTGCAGGACCTGAAGCAGATGAGGAGGGTCTGCCCACCCCACACCCCCCTGTCGTCGGTGGTGCTCAATCGGCAACAGAGGGAGCTGCAGCGGGAGCGACAGGCTCGTCTGCGCGTGTCAGAGGCCAGCGAGGCCAGCACCTATGACTCTGCCTGCTGCCTAGCCAGTCCGGTGGAGGAGGAAGAGGAGGAGAGCGGGGATGGAGGCAGCCAGCTGAGGCTGGCCTCACCCAGCAGTGAGAAGAGCCTGGAGTTTGACTCCGGATACTCAGAGGCATCGTGGCAGGATGACCCTGTGGTGCTGCGTCGCACACGCAATGTACGTGTGTCCTCCTCAGCCTGCCTGCGCACCAACCTGGCCTCCAGCGGACGTGTGCGGCCGAAATCCACCTCGGATGCATGTCTGGAGCACTGGACCTCGTTTGAGGCTCATGATCCAGAGGATTGGACAAATTCTCTCCTGACCCGCGGTCGGAACAGACAGCCGCTCGTTCTGGGCGACAACAGCTTCGCGGACCTCATAGAGAACTGGATGGACTTGCCAGAAAATCCAGAACCCACGGTACTGAGGCCCAATCCCGGGAAGAGGATGGCCAAGGGCTGGCTGGGCCACATGCGACGGAAGTTAGCAGGAATGTCAAAGAACGTGGAGAGTTGGGGGAAACTTGGGGACCTTTCACGGGGAGGCAGGACTGCGGACCCCCCAAAGAGACTCTCCTTCCCTGTCGGTCTTCAGCCCCAAGCCCCGTTTTTTCACAAGTCACACACAGGCTTAAACCAGCTGGGCACTGAGTTCTTCCAATTTGCAGCCCTGATGAAAACAGGCAGCCGGCAACCAATCATCTGTAATGACATCATCGGATACATCTGACTGGTGCCCAGTCAACACACTGCTCACAACTGACTGTAGTTTTTCCTAATAATGTTATATTTACACTAATAAAAACGTTTTAAATAAAACTATCAATATTCAATGTTCATGGCATTTTCCTGAATTATAAGTGTGTGGTTTTCCACATATCATTGCTTATATTGTTATCTTTGTCAGCTTGTTAAGTTTGGCTCTTTATAGGTTAACAAAATCATAAAATAATTCTAGTGACAGTGTGAGATCACCTCCTGTTTTCAATTTTACTATCCGCATTCAGTTATACTGTGTGAATTCTGGGTGCAGTGTGTCCCCTGGCTGCATAGTGTCCCCTGGGTGCTTTGTGGTCCTTGGCTGCATTGTGGCCCCTGGGTGCAGTGTGGCCCCATGCTGCGTAGGGCACCCTGGGTGCAGTGTGGCCCCTGGCTGCGTAGGGCACCCTGGGTGCAGTGTGCCCCCTGGCTGCATAGTGGCCCATGGGTGCAGTGTGGCCCCTGGCTGCGTAGGGCACCCTGGGTGCAGTGTGGCCCCTGACTGCATATTGGTCCCTGGGTGCAATGTGGCCCCTGGCTGCATATTGGTCCCTGGGTGCAGTGTGGCTCCTGGCTGCATTGTGGCTCCTGTGTGCAATGTGGCCCCTGGCTGCGTAGGGTACCCTGGCTGCATAGTGGTCCTTGGGTGCAGTGTGGCCCCTGGCTGCATATTGGTTCCTGGGTGCAATGTGGCCCCTGGCTGCGTAGGGTACCCTGGCTGCATAGTGGTCCTTGGGTGCAGTGTGGCCTCTGGCTGCATTGTGGCTCCTGTGTGCAGTGTGGCCCCTGGCTGCGTAGGGTACCCTAGGTATAGTGTAGCCCCTGGCTGCACAGTGGCCCCTGACCACATTCTGATGGACATCATGTTTCCAGGGACTCGATGCATGCAGAATGGTGCGTAAGAGCAAGGATAAATCAGAAGGATAAAATGAAGGGTGGTTTACTGCTCAGACTGTATAGTAATACACGAAAAGTTGACACGGTTTGCTAGCCTGTCTACACGTGGCCTTCCTCTGTGGTGCCGTAACAGCTGTGTTTTTCATTGGTTAATGTTCCTGGTGGTTTTAAGTTGCCTTAAGTACGTATGAGCAGCAGGAGCTGAAGAGAACACGCTCAAAAACCTGCGTTGGAACATGGCTGCCGACATCGCAGCAAACACGTGTGATAACACGATAACCCACCATGTGGACCACAGCAGCAAGGCTGAGTCTTATAAGCAGAAAGGAGGGAACCACATGAATAAGTTTTTTGGAGGGGAGGCCACTCTTTTTACTCGGGGTTCTCCATAGACACAGGGATCACCAAATTCTGCTCGCATCGTTAGAGGAGCTCGGTGCGTGGCGACATAGAGAATATGGAGCTGACCCCGACCGGCGGGGAAAGTGGCACCTTCTTCAGTTTTATCACAATAAGACGAAAATAGATAAGAAAAAGTCCAAATTAGCACCTAAAGACGTGATGAAGTGGACGGAGCCGGCAGGCAAGGCTGAGTCTGAGGACGGAGTGGATTAGGGAAGATGGACGATCGTGTGGGAGAGGAAATGGAGCTTCAGTGTTTATCTTAGAAAAACTGGAGCAGAAGGCTCTGTCTGCTCAGAGCCAGAAAGTGCGGCAGCATCCTCCAGCTGGCTAAGTTATGGCTTAAAACTCTGCGACTCCCTTACTTTTATTAAGAACAGATGCAGCAGCTTTGCCATTTATAACATAAAAGATGAGGGCATGCCTGTTTTTTCCCCGTCAGTGGTTCTCGATTATTTTACTACGTCGTCCATTTTTTAAGATTAAAATGACACCAGGGGCCAAAAATGGGGGTGGATTGAAAATGGAAAATGATTTGCAGGTAGATGGTCTGGCAGGGCTGGTGACAGAAACAGCTGTTTTATTTACGTCCTGTGATCGAGCTGATGGAACGTTAGCAGCCTGTGTGGAGGTCTGGTCGATTCCATGTCTCTCAGGGCTTGTTGCTAACATGCTGAAGTGGGGTACAACCGCCCCCCCATGGAAAAGCACAGAGTCAAACCAACCTGCAAAGTTAAAACTATCTCAGGGAAAATGGTGGACAGACTGGGCAGATCGATGGGAAGCGGTGGTCCAAGAGGAGGGCTTATCAATGGCATATGGCAGTTCTCACATGGGGGGGTTCCACGTATTAATAAAGATCGAGAGGACTGGGACATCCATGTTGATTAATGTTTGCTGTATTTACAGATTTTTTTGGGGGGGTTGCCGCTATAACATCTGCGCTGGGTAGCAGCCCCCCCATTCGCTGAGCCCCAGAGGTTAAAATGGCCAATGAACAGTCTGAGTCAAGCAGAAATATCCAGCAAAGAGCTGAGTTTGAATGGAAGCCAGCAGACCCTACACCTGGCAAAGCTATCAGTCTGACGCTCTCGTCAGCGGTCGAGATCATACACCTGCCCCTTGGGAGGCGTGTGATGTTGGAGCCCATGAGTAAGTTTAACCAGCAGGAATGTAAACAAACAGAAGAGTTAACAGGGTCCTGCCCCCCAAACATGGCAATATTATCGCCATGCAAGGGCTTTTCTGCCTCGTGTCCAAGGGCACACCAGCATGGCATCAGAACTGAACTGTTCTCTCTGACTGACCCTTGACGACAGAACCAGTGTGGTCTCAGTTCTTGTCAAACAGTGCTGCTTTGGGACTGCAACAGAATGTAGAGCAAGATGTTTGCACATGTGTCAAACTGACGTGTTTTACCTCTGGTGGGGATGTGTACCTCAGGTACTCAGTGTGTCCCATAAGAAGGATTTTAAGCAAACAAAGTCCAGGGACTGAATATCTGGGTGGTGGGACAGTCCTGTCTGTTATGTGTCTGAGATACACAGAGCAAAAGGTAGATATTTCACAAATAGCTGAAGCTGGGGAGTTGATATCTTTCCATACATACTTTTACTGAACACAGTTGATCAGGAGTGGCCAGGTATGTTGATGTTTTTAAATGGTCTTTCTGGAGAAATATATTTATAATTCTTTATTTCCTTGAAAGAACAAAAGATGAAATATGGGACAATAATGGGAAAAACCTATGTTGAAAGCCATAGTTCGCGGGCTCATTGTTTGCTGACAGACAGGTTTAACACTCTTTCCGTTGCTTAAGCAAGACAGGGACTAAGAGCAGTCATCCAACACGCTGCTCCTTCTTCTTTGGTCATAGCTCTTGCCGGAAAATGATTACGTGCCTCTTTCATATTGTCTGGTGAGACATGGACACACCTGACAACCAGGTTACCATGGGATGTCTTTGTGGGCACCGTGTGTGAGAAAAGTGTACAGTAAACTGTGAATGACATTTTTACTCTCTGTGTGCATGAATGGAAGATGCAGGTCACGACAGGCAGTGAATTCTTTATAACTTCTGGGTCGGGCAGTTTGCAGTCTGACAACTTCCCTCTTGGATCTTTGCATGGAAACATAATTAGGGACTTCTAAAGAACATGAAAATATTGGTTGGTGTTTTCCCATTTAAGCCCAAATATCTTTTTAGCCTGTTTCCGCAGTTGTATATATGATGAAGAAATGCCTACTTGGAAAAAGTCTTTGAATAAGGCTCTTCATTGATCCTTTAAAAAAACGAAACACCTGGAAACTAGGAGAAAAACCAGCAGCATAGAGGTTTACCGTTTTCATGTTCTGATCTAGAGAGACACTGAGCCTACAGAAAATGCTGACAGGAGACCAGTAGATTATACACCCCTTAGTCACTATGGGAAATGCATGGTAAGCGTCAGAACCTGCAGGGGAGACACGCAGAGTCATGCCGTGTCAGTGAGGGTCGAGCTAGCACGTGCATGCCTACAGGTAACATGCCACATTTCTGCCATGCTGTGCAACCATTTTGCAACACAACCCTAACCCAGCATAGTCTAAGTGAGGCTGTTCAGGAACCACCAGGAAAGGAGCTGTTCTGACCTGGTAGATGTGATGGTATAGGGACACCTTAACTGAGTAGTCAGGACAGGAGTCTAAAGCTTTGGTTTCTTGCTAGAGCAAAGGCCTCTCACAATACAGCAGTTTCTTCTGTCCTGTTTTGTCCTCTGAGGCTTTAACACCATCCATCCATTAATCCATCCATCCACTCGTTTACTGTACCCGCTTTTCCTATTCAGGATCACGGGGGTCCAAAGCCTATCCCCAAAGTTATAGGCACAAGGCAGGGAACAACCCAGGATGGGTTGCTAACCCATCACCGGGCACACCCAAAAATGTATCAGTTGCAAACAGAAATACTGGACACAGAAATCCTGTATCTGAGCAGCCATTGCCAAAGAATGAGATCAGTTAGATTGAATCAATTTGGCATGATCCATTTGCAAGTCCATGGATTGGAATAAATCAAGAACTGCTTATAATACAAGATGTGTATAATTTAAAAAAGTAGCTTCCATGGGTTTACATTAAGTAAGTGAGCATTATGAGTGATTATACAGCTGGAAGAGCTGCAGTGTTGATGGCAGGTAGAAACAGGTACAGGGGACACGTCATCCTCTTCATCCCGCCTCTGATATGAAGTCAGAGCATCCTCAGTGGCTTCTTGTGCATATTGTGTAAATATTCAGATAGATAAAACCACAAGATGACGAAACATCAGCCCTACCCAGCATCAGCCCGCCTAGGACCAGCCCAGGTGAGCCCTGCCTAGTCTAATGAATCAGCTCAGGAGCAGCCCAGCCTGGACCGAAAGCTCACATCCTGAAGCTCACAGATAGAGAGTCACAGACATCGACTAGACAGCCTTGGCAGAAGCTGCATCGTGATGAGTCACGAGTGGGCAAAGGCCAGGGTGACCATGACCCTGGTGATTAATGTCCCCTCTTTCCGCGGGATCCTTGGGTAAATAACATCCATCAGGACCCCAGAGGAAAGGCAGGAGAGGTTAATGACCCAACATCCCTGTTGGGCAGCGGCAAGCAGGCAGACAGCCTTCCTGGGACTGCACTCGCATTGAACCCCGAGAAAACCAACAAATCATTATATTACTGTTATTTTGGCCATTCGGCTCTATATTTGATAATATATCTGAGAAAGTCTTTGTTATTTTACAGTGAAAAGTTTC